GGAAAGCTTGGCGGGTCTCCAAATTTTGGGAAGGAAAGAGTTTGAACCAAGTGTTTGTTCTTCATCATCGACGTTAATAATTGAGACAAAACGACGTGCAGAGTGTTAAATTTTGATTTTGATTAAGAACAGGGGGATACAGATCTTTTTCACTTGATGAATGCAGTGTCTTTCATAGTTTCAAACACTTGGGCTAAAACCAAATGTAGAAATGAATGTAAAGAAGTATCAAGCAATGTTTAAATCCGACGGGCCTCTCGGTTCTTCTTGGTTATGTAGACCACTTTATAAGTGGTTCTCCCATTGCGTTTAGCCCTTGTGGGTTCGTGTTCGGCTTGTACTGAACTCTGGTTTATTTTCGATTTATTGAGATCTCCAATTATGGGTTTCATGGATAAAGAACATGTGACACTTTACATACATGATGGGGGAAAATGCTACAGTTCCGATACGGAACTATTCCGTCGGGATTTGTAACCGTTAGATTATCATGTACCAGTCGTGGATAGTTTGATCTAATGGTTACAAACCCTCACGGAATGGTTACGTAACGGGACCGTAGAATCTTCCACACGATGCATACATAGGAAGGATCATAATGTAATCCATTCAGATCCATCAATGAAGGTGAGGGAAATGAAAGGCTTAGCCTCTTGTTCAGTGAGTTCTCTTGACCAAGACACTCTTCCTGCAAAACTTGCTCCTGCCCCTGTGCACTTGTATTGTCCATAGAACACCGTCCTACATGCAAATCATAAATAAATGCCTACATCTAGTAAGTTAATGTGTTCCTTCCAATAATATATGAGACTCATGTTATAAATAAGTTCTAACTTGTAAAAAAAATACATCAATTTATGGAGTGTAATCATGTATTAATTCTATTATATTATATAATAGTTAATGCTAATACCAACTAATAATAATTCACAATAAACAATTTTTTTAAATTATTTATTTTAACATCAATATTATCTTTTTCTTTTATATCTCGTGAAAAAATTTCTTTAAAAACATTTAGTAAATAGTTTTAATAGCATAGTCAAACAACTTTAAAATCTTGTAAACAATTGTTTTTGTAATAATAATAATAATAATAATAATAATAATAATAATAATAATAATAATAATAATCAAATTGTTATTATTTAATGATAATAAACAATTTTTTATAATAATAAACAATTGTTATTTTATTTTTCCTAATGATCAAATTTTAAAAATGAAATATGTTCATTATTTAAATTTTAATATTAAATTTTCACATACTACTTATAATATTTTATGTACATCTGTGTATGTGTACAAGATGATTACTAGTTTATATTAGATTATAAACAATAAATATACAATATATAATAAACAACTAACAAACGGATACTATTTTATTGCATTGCAACCAGAAGGAATGGATATTAGATCAAGTTCAATTGTGAACATAGATTTTAGTGTATGTGACAATTAAATAGATGATTTTTATTTACGTGGAAGAAAAGATATTCTAGATCTAGATCATAAAAAGACTCAAGTGGTTTAATTATGCAACTTAGTACATTCATATTATATTATCCATTTATTGTAGTTCCTGCATTTTTTTTTCATTAACTGTTCCCAAAATTTTTTACTACCATTTTTAGTAAATAATTATTTATAATATATATATTTAAACTCTTTTACTTTTTTTTATTTAAATTATTTTTTCATAAATCCGTGTAGCACACAGGTGTCATACTAGTTCATAAGTAAAAGGTGAACTTGATTAGATGGGATTCAAGAGACGCGTGAACTTCTACGGCCAAACGAAGATGGTACAACAGAATATCCTTTGGAACTTTCGTTGCAGTATTATTGTACCATTGAACAAAAAATAAAGAATGGAATATAATGTTGATAGATTCGAGTTTACTCACATTTCTCTTGAAGGGTCTCCCCAATTGTACCAACCCTTTGGGATGATGATGTTGTCCATGTAAGTGTAGGCGAAGACCACCCTTGAGAATGGGCCCCACGCCCTTCCCAGGTACAGCGCCCCCGAACCCGTTACCTTACAATTCACGAACGAGAACCCCGTGTCCTCAAGTATGCTGCTCCGGCCCTGAGCTGTCACAGCGCCCGTCAACGTCGCTATGGCGTGCACCTCGCAATTCTAATTCAATCCAATTTAATTAATTGATTAATTGAAGAGAAACAAACATATTATGGGAAATGTTACAGTCCCGTTTCAGAACTATTCTGTCTGAGATTTGTAACCGTTAGATAATTGTCGTGGATAGTTGATCTAACGGTTACAAACCCGACGGAATGGTTTCGTAAACAGACTGTAGAATCCCCCGACGTATTATTTTACATACCTCAAACAAGGATAGACCATTTCCGAAGATGAAATCTACGGAGCCCTCAATGTAGCAATCTTTGTAGTAATGCCTGCCCAAATGGTCGTACAGCGTGTCCTGTGCCCCGAGAAATTTGCACCCCACAAAGGCCGCCGTGTCCCCCGATATTCGCAGCGCCACCGCTTGCTTCCCGACTGCCCCCGCCTCTGGCACCGGCGTCGTGTTCTGCATAATCTTACAATCTTATTAATCAATTATTACATCACAGTCCGTTCATTCCTTCTTGTAATTTACTGCTGATCATTACCTTAAACGTAATGTTCTTGGCAATGAAGTAAGGGGAGTTGACGGCAAAGGTGGCCGACCCGTAGGTGCCGAGCGGCAGGCCTCTCGGTCCCTTTGTCTGGGCCGTGTCGCCCCACTCCACAACTGTCCTATCTGCCCCTGCCCCTTCTATGCTTATAAATGATTTCAGTGCCGGTATTATCACTTTCTCCCTGCAAATTATCATTATCATTATGATTTTTCAGTATTTTTTTAATAAATATACCGTCCTGTTACGGTACCATCCCGTTTGGTGTTTTAACCATTGGATCCACGTGTAGTTAGATAATATAGATGATCCAACGGTTAATAACACCCGACAGGATGGTACCGTAACGGGACTGTCGGGACATAATCTTTGAAAGAAAAAAAAAAAAAAAAGAGAAGAAGAAAACTGACTTGTAAACCCCTGCATGAACCTTGATGAGGACCCTCAAAACATTGACTAAAGGGATAGAATCGATTGCTTGTTGAATGGAAGTGAAGTCCCCATACAATGGATTCCTGTCCACAGTTAGAGTGTAAGAAGGGAAAACCTTATTCTTGGCTGTCTTGAAGAGGGAATGCTTGAGGCTGCCCATGAAATCGACCCACTTTATGAACTGCTGTTGCGAGTATTCGACTTGCGTCGCGTTCACCGGCGCCACACGAGAAGCTCGCTTGGGTCTTATGCCTTTGGTATGGCATGCTACATTGCTTGCTTTCACCATCAAAACAACAAGAATTAATGCAGCAACTTGGAGAGTAAGTCTAAAACAGGACATCTTATTGTGAGAATTTTTTTGTCAAACTTGAAAACGATGCCTACAAGTTCCTCTGTTTCAAGTGAATTGGCAAAACTCGTCTTGTCTTGCTCAGCTTTTGCCTCTTCCTATTGTGTGTATATATCATTTTTATGCGAACACTTCTCATTTTTTGTCTTCATTTTTATGGAGGAGTTGGGTGGCATTGTTTAATCCTTGAACCAAACTCTACTTTCTAAAACAATTAGTAGTAATATATGTAGTTTGAGTTGGAAAGACTAATGAAATATGCTCTGTCGGTTGGCTCCACTATGGAGTCAACTGTTGGCTTATTAGTAAAACCGATGCTCCGTCTTCTATTTCACCTCAAATTGGAAATAACTTATGCTCTGAAATTGATGGTAATTTACAAGAATATATATTTTAAAACCCCTCTTGAAAGTTAGATATTTGTTCCATTTGTTTAATTGTATTTATTTAAGATTGGAGATGATTTTCGTGAAGATTGTTTAATACTTCTCTTTAAACGAGAGTTTACTGACAGTATAACTATAGATTTTATTATGGATGAATTTTATTCTGTAAAAACTCGATCGTCGTGTACAACTTATTTGAAGAAAAAAAAATATTATGTGATTTTTATGAAAATGATTAGAGTTACAGCCCAGTCTACTCTTAATTTCTAGATCCATCCCTGTGTGAATATTGACATGAAATTTCATGTAATCTTGATTTGTACGTCTTAATTGGTTCATTTTAATCCTCGATTTAAGCAGTAAAATAGCACAAGAAAAGATGTCGATTCAACAACACCAAACATTATCGTCTTCTTTTCTATCCTCGTGATTTTTTTTTTGGTATGATGTGTTTTGACCGTGACCTTGCCGACAATCCATTGTTGTCTCTCCGACGAATTTCTAACAAAGGAAACATGAAATTGCCTTTTAATTTTTTTTTTTTTTTGGTAGCCAGCTACGGTATCCAAAGTTTTGCCTCGACTAATTCGTTGGTCGACCCGAGTCGCACACCTGACAATGGTGGGTGAGTCTCCCAACAAGGGTTTTCTCCACTCGAACCCGAGACCTTGCTTAAGCGATATCAAACTGCTTACCACTTGAACCAACCTTTGTTGGTTAAAAAATTTGGACCGCTTCTCGATTTATGCGTGTCATCCTTACGCAGGAGTCATGCTAATCTTCTCTGTATCGTTCCAATTTTATCGGATGTCTCCGAAGGAACTTAAACTTAAATTTGTGGCATGGGGTAGGGAAAGTGGAGGAGCACTACACTGATTAATGGAGTATGATGACGTGGAAGGGGGGGAGGTCACGGGTGGTTCCACTAACCATTTAGGTGGAATTCTGTGTGCTTGTTTAGGGTGGGCTTTTAGCAGGAAAGTAACAAAACGTAGGCCATAAAGTGGAAATCACTTTAGAATTCTTTGGTATGTGCACTTTTTGGCTGTTGGTGCCCGTCACGAGTCTCCTTCCTTGTTCGTGTCTAAAAGATGAATTATATATATATAGGCAGGGGCAGAGCTACATTTGTTATGATTTAGTCTAATTAA